GTGTGTGTGTGTGTGTGTGTGTGTGTGTGTGTGTGTGTGTGTGTTCCCAGGGATTTGACACTGCTATTCAAGCCCTGTGGTTACCATGGTGCCGGCTGCCTTATATGGCCATTGGAGTCAAAGAGCAAAGAGAGTGGGCTGTGTGGGGCAGCATGCGCACACACACACACACACAGGAAGAATGTGGAGCATCTCTCTCAGAGATGCAGAAAGCGTGACCCCAAGGCCACAAAAACCACTCTGACAATACCAGATTACCCCGAAGCCATGCAACAAATACAAACAAGCCCATCTCCTGCCCACCCATTGTCTTTTAGAAAGCAGCTGAATCCTGCATCCGAAAGTTTTCAAACTCCAGCGCACAATTTTACATAGCAGCGGTGAGGTGAGCTTTGTTTCCCAAAGCGAGACCATCTCTCAGCCTCCTTGATTTGGAAAAAAAAAACCTGCTTTGATCCTGGGTATACGTGCGAAGCGGCTTGCTCCAGAATAGCTTATTGTGCTGGGAATAAAGGTTACCATTTTGTGGTCATTGCTCATTTCTCAAAGGGCGTCTGTCTCCGCGCTTTGTGGAGCACATAGTGATTTGTGTTCCAGGTTACCCCGAGAGGTCACACTGACTTTCACACCCCTGGCTCGGTAAAAAGCCCAGGGTCAAATGCAGATAAAGGAGAGAAGAGGACACACAACAACCCTGGATAAGAGCTTTAAGAGATAAAGTGATGAATCTGCTTGTAGATGTGCTGCTCTGTGTGGATGGGGGTTGCAGTCGCAGATAAAGTGTTGGTGCCTTCAGAGATTCACTATATGCAACTTGTTGTCTTATCTGGGGAGCGATTGCAGAGATTTTAAAGGCATTCTTTTCCCCCCTGGACACTTTTATGGCGTTCTTTAAATCTAAACCAAGCTTTACCCCCCTGAGGACAGAATGTGTGTGTGTGTGTGACAGAGGAGCATTGTCGTGACCATTGTGCAGCTAATGGATCATCAGAGGGGGGTGTGTGTGTTAATGTGAATGAAAGTCCCTTTAATTAGGCCACTGTGCCTGCTTATTGTCACTTCTTGTGTTGGGAAAGATTAGACTCGTCAAATAAAGGGGGCTTGTAAAGCCCTGTGTGCTTTCAGTGTGTGTATGGGGTAAGCAGATGAGATATCCAACTGTTGTGTACCCGAAAATCAGTAGATTTGTGTTAATTGATTCTATTAATTGTTGCTCTAGAGTAGATATCAGAAAAGTGGCATGTTCTAATCAGAGCGTCAGAGGCAATTTTTGTCTGGTTGATTATCTGTAATATGAATTTCTGTTTATTCCAACAGATGATTTTCTGTAATATAAATTGATAATAGTATGCTCGATTTCATGCAATGCTGTGCAGCGCTGACTTAGCGTGATGCATGCTGGTCCTGACCTAATGCATGTTGATTAGAACATTTGTCCGTCTTTATTAACCTTAAAATATCACGGGAGCGAGCCGGCTGCAGTCAGTGCTACAGAAATATAGTTGTTAATATTATAAAATACCAGAGAAGAACATTGAGAGCAGCTCATCTTTTTTTTAACATGTCTTTGTTCTACACAAAGAAACAGTAGGCACAAGCAAAGTCAGCTGTGATGTCATCGTACAGTCATCCTCTCCCACAATCACGTCTAACTTTATCTGTCTTCCTGTGTGAATGTCATTTAGCTTAGGCTGCACAAACTGCAGCAGCTTTACAACAGGTTATCATCATTACAGCGACACATTCCTGAAGACCTTGTCCCAACCATCACTTTCGAACTCGTCTCAGCATTTAGTAGATGTCAAATGGAATGTTTTCAATACTTAATTGTTTATTGGGGCCGAAAATGATACTTTTCAAAATAAAATTGTAAATGCAAAAGTGGGACAAACTCCAACAATATTGGCAATAGTCAATCAGATTTCTTAACTAGTATTTGATGAACGGAATGTCAGAGAGGGAAAAGTATGGAACACTTTGGATTAGATAGAGAGAGAGATGAAAGGGATGCTGTGAATGTCTTGTGATTTCAGCGTGTGTGTCTGTCTCTGTGTGTGTGTGTGTCTCTGTGTTTGAGAGATACCACTGGGGGCATGAGTGATGTGACCTTTGAACCGACAGACAGGAATCTGGTTGCTCAGAGTGAGGAATCCAGCAAAGACAGCAAAAGATGTCTGCCAAGCTGACAAATAAATCTGATCTCACTGGCGTAGATACAGAGGAGAGAGGACAAACACTGACGCCCAGTGAGTGTCTCATCCAAACAGTCTTCAGATCAAACTAATTATAGGTTTGGGCAAGCACTGCTGCAGTAACACAATTGTCCACTTACAGAAATATACATGAATTGTCAAATGAATAATGAATAATATCGCAATGCATCCTGCAAACAGGATCTTGCACCCGCCTGAGTGGGTGTGTTGATGACGTTTCTAACACGTCTAAAACGATAAAAACACAAAAGAATACAAATATCTCAGGAAAGACGATGTGATTCTAGAGATTTTGGTGATGAGGGCCGATGCTGATGTCGATGAGCTGTAAACAAAAACACACTTCATATTTTACTGTTGTTGTGAACTTGTCTGACTCAGACAATCACCTCCTGCATTCTTCATATGTTGGAGGGCACACTCCAGTAAATGCCGGGACACATTTTTCCTGAAAATTGTGGTTTCCAAGGGTTATACACACTTTCATGTGTCACCGGTAGTCATAGCAGCAGGTAGACACATTTCTGGCTCCTCCATGTTTGTCCCGTACAGAAGGTTACCACTGGTGTTTCCTTGATCTTCTGTAACTTATGTTTCTGTTGCCAATGTATTCAGATCACACAAAAGATACAGTTTGGTCCATTGTCCCAACTGTCTTTGTTCAGAACTCCGGGTCCTGCTTTACTGGGGTGAAAGGTCTCTGAGCTTGTTGTGTAACCGGAGGAACATAATTAACTAGTCATGGCTGTAATTTGAAACCTTTCTTTGAGGTTGAGCTTGGCTGATTGGGATCATAGCATGTGAGCTACTGTTCTGTCGTAGTGTGTGCAAGTATACAGTTCTGTGGCCTTTTGTCAACATGTATCTTCGAAGATGTCGCATCTAAACCTTCATGCAAGTTTTATTTGTGAAATAATCTCTAAATCTGAATGTTTAACTCCTTTTAAAGTTATGTTTAACATCCTTTGTTACTTTTATTTTCAAGAACCAATTTAATAATTATTTTTGAATACTTGCAAGGTGTTATATAAATACATTTTGACTGATTTCTAACTTTCATTGCTCA